TGAGCCATTTGTTCTTTCAGCGTAGTAATCTCGGCGGTGAACTTTCGGTTTTGCTCTTCTAGTTGTTCCATCTTCTTAGCCTTTTGAGCACGAGTGAGGACGGGCGGAAGACCAGCCACCTTCTAAATGATTTTAAAGATTTTTATTATTATTCTTTTTTTATTATGAATGATCGAGTGTGGGATAGATATGCCTTAGACAATAGTTTTGGTATCTTCTCAAAAGCCTATGTTTTAAGGAATACCATACCCACTTCAGTGTGATGGTTCCCTTTTTTCAAAGGTTGCCAACATACCTTAGCGCACTCATCTCTTCTAGGAAGGTGATAAACGCACTTGGGTCTCTTTCGCTATTGTCTAAGGATATCTAATGCATCCTAGAATAAATGTGCTTTATGCATGCAGTACAAAAATATTTTTTATGACAGCAGATATTGAAAGTGGCATAACTTTTGACTGGGTTGTCCGATTTGGACGCACAGCATGTCAAAACGAAGAGAAAAGGGTGAAGAACCAAGCTGCAAATTGCCGCAGGCGATTTGGCCCAGTAATTTTCCCAAAAAACGTCTCTAAGACCCATTTTTTAGGGGTTTATTAAAATGATGAGCATGCCGTAATTATTTTATCTCTTAATTTTACCACTTATTGGATGATATGGTATGAATGATACGACTTTGCCAAAAATCTTTTGTAAAAGGGTATTTTTATGACCTTAATGTTTTTATATTTTTAGGGTTTTTTCATTATTTTATGATTTTTAGGGTTTTTCACTTTTTTGTTTGTTGTATGATTACCCTATACTAATGCATCAATACAAATGCAGCAAACGTATGCACACACAATTCACACATCCACGAGCAGAGCCACGCTTATTTAATCACGAGGTAGGATTTTCCTGCAGAAACGTGCTTGGTTTAGGTGGTTCTAACTGTTCTCACCAGGCCAAAGGTCCCCAAGGTGCCCCCATTATAGGGACCTCTCAATCTCTCAATCCTCGGGTCATGCACGGAACTCCGTGGCGACACCCTTAGACCAAAAGAAGAGAGTTATCACCTTGAGTTGGTGGTTTTCCGACAACGGCAGTAGCCCCGTGTGCCAACTAACCGATCGTATCTGCCACCCACTCCCTATAGATATTCACTCTTGCCCCCGGGTATAGAGGGACTGTTGTGTGCAAGGGTTTTTGTGTGCAATTTATATTTCAAACAATTGCAGAAATAATCATACAGCAGTTATTAAAAGCCATACAGTAAAAACATACAGAAGGGTAAAGGCGTAATTTCAAATCTTTGCTTAGTTTGAATTTATCTGTCACTAAATGGGATCAACTCTCTAGCTTCCCCAGTGGAGTCGCCATCTGTCGCCGCCGTCCCTTCCGACGTCCCGGGGGGACGTCTTAGAAACGTTTATGCGAGCGGTCGCGAAAAGATGGTTTAGACTCGCGTTCTTATTTTAAAAGGTTTTCGAAAAAGGGGTTCTTATGGAGTCGCCACCAATGTTTTAACCTTAAACATTGGAAAAGGAAAAAATGTTGATTTTAAGAAAAACCGCACTTGGCCATTATAACCAGAGTTGGGTAAGGGAGTTAGTTACGTGTGGGGAAGGTGTTAGCACCCCACAACGCCCCTTTCGGGTTCCCTATGACAGATTAATTCATTTAAATAAAGACTACAAGAAATTACGCGATTACCCTATTTTATTACATAATATTAAATGGCTATCTACATGATTTTATTCTATATTGCATGCATAAAATGATTAATAAAGCTAAATAAAGCAATAAAAGAGACAAAATAGCTATCTACATGATTTTATTCTACATGGCATAAATAAAGCTAAATAAAACAATAAATAAAACAATAAAAGAGAAGGGAATTGAAAAGAACCTCCGTAGCAAGCTTTATATTGAGAATCTCGAACTGTGAGGATGCGTTTTGGCAACCCCTCTCTCTACACAGTCTCTCCTTACCAATACAAGATCGACTCTACTAAAAATTTAAAGAAGAATCAAATGCCGGAATATAATTCCTTAACCGATTGTTACCTATTTAAGGCAATCGGAAAGATCATTCGAGAGAGGGAGAGAAGTAGACAAGTGCTCTAAAGTGTTTCAGAGCTCTCTGGAGTGTCTGTGGTGTGAAAAAGTGGCAAATGAGCCTCCTATTTATAGTTTTTCGCAGCTGGCGCACTTTGGGACGGCCATCTGGGTTGGGACGGCCGTCTGGACTGGGATGGCCGTCCCAAATGGCAAATTTACACAGAACGGGGCCCCCAGGAGGGTCGGGACGGCCGTCCCACTTAAAATGGGTTTGGGACGGCCGTCCCAACTTTGGGACGCGCGTCCCAACTGGTTTTAAGAGGTTGGGACGGCCGTCCCAACTGGGACGGCCGTCTCAACCTGTTCTGGCCAGTTTCGCGCGTTTCGGGACTCCGGGAAGCTTTCCTTGCCTGTTTTGGACGTAGATTGATGCCGATGTGTGTCCGTTGAAGCTTTATCTTCATATAGGAAGTCTTCTTGGCCTTCAATAAGATGTCGGTCGAGCTTTATCTCTGTATAGGAAGTCTCCTTTGTCCTTTATCGTGCAGATGAGCGATCTCCGTGTTTGTTGCGGGAGGTCTTTCTCGGTTTTTCTTTGATATGAAGCCGGGTGAACTGTATGAAGTTTCCCTAGCTTTTATTTTGAGAGGCCGGGCAAAATTAGGGGTCTACAACGACCAAAGTTGGTTTTCGAAAACCAACGCCTTTTTACTCCTTTTTCGATGTTTACGGTAAAAACATCGGTGGCGACTCCATAAGAACCCTTCAAAATTAGTTCTTGGGTTAGCCCGGTTATCAGACAATCCAAGAACACTTTTTCGAAAACCTCGCCTCTAGGTTCAGCCCGGTTATCGGACAACCTAAAGGCGTTGTAACCACACCCATAAAATGCGAAAATTGGAAAGTCAGAACCATCGCGTCGCTCTGACTGCCTCGTTTTGACGGCGACGACAGATGGCGACTCCACTGGGGAAACTAGACAGTTGATCTCATTTAGTGATGGACCAACTTAAATAAATGAACCAAGAAATTACGCTTTTACCCTACCTTGTATTATAACATTTTTTAATGCTTGGCTTTAATAACTTTTGTATGTTTATTTTACGCAATTGTTTGAAATACAAATTGTACACAAACCTTCACACACAACAGTTCCCTCTATACCCGGGGGCAAGTGAGAAATCCATAGGGAGTGGGTGGCAAGTACGGTTCGCTGTAGTGATGACCTTGTGCCCACCAGTGTGATCAGAAACCACCACTCAAGGTGATAACTTTCCTCTTTTGGCACGAAGACTGACTATGGCCTTAGTGCTAAGCATGGTCGGAAGGCTGGAGAGTGGGGACCCTATAATGGGGGCACCTTGGGGGCCTTAGCCTTGGTGAGAACAGTTAGAACCTACCTTCGCCAATGCACTTTTCTGCAGGAAAACCCTACCTCGTGATTAAAACGACTTCTTGCCTGTTCGCGGATGACTAGATTGTGTGCACATTTTGTTTGTTGCATTTGTTTTTTGCATAGCATAACCAAACAACAGAGAAATCACAAAAAAATACTTTTTGCAATAAACACCCTTATCTCGGACAGTCTGCCTTTTAGTTAGCCTGGTTTCAGGTTCTTTGTAAGCTAAGTAGCCACGCAGTCCGACAGAAGAGATAAAAGGCTATAAAAATAATAAAAAATCAAAATAAAAACCCAATTGAAAACAATAAATGGGACCTTGTTCATAAACATTATACTCATAAATCATTCATATAGGTAGTTTATTTTCCAAAAAAAATATACGCAAATACCATACATCATGTAAAAATAAAACATGATAAATAGGAAAATAAACACTCACATTCATACCTACAGTAAGCATCATATTCATAAAGCATGCATTTTGGTTTTAGAAAATGGAGGGGACTAGTAGACAGTTGAAGAAAGTGGACATTTCTCGGTACCAAACTGAGAAGTTGGAACGGATTTGTGCAATAATGCCACCAGAGGTTCGCTCCGACTTCGAAAAATCCTATGGACGGATTCTCAACCTACTGAAGATCTGTGTCGATCAAGTTTTCATCAAGGTACTAGTTCACTTTTGGAACTCTAGTCTGCATTGTTTTGAATTTCCACAGTTCGATATGGTGCCCACCTTGGAGGAGTACGAAATTATGCTGAAATGGCCCAAATCAGCTGGGGTCCATATCCGCCACGGGGCATATACTCCTGCAGCACAAGTCGTTGCCATCATCTGATTGCCATTCCGACAGACTACCCTGATAGAAAAAGGGAACATCCAGGGTTGGAAGGTTTCAATGTTAGAAGACCATCTGTCCAATTTAGCTGAAAGGGCAGAATGGGTCGCTTTCAACAAAACCATGGCTCTGATTATATTTGGAACAATCTTGTTTCCCTTCCACATCGACACAGTGGACCAAGCCATCATGGACGCCTTCTTCACCTGGGACGTGAACTCGAAGAGTCCCTTGCCTGCAATTCTTGCCGACACCTTGCTCTCGGTGGAATTTTCCGCTAGAAGCAAGGAAAAACACTTCGTTGCTACTCTTCATTACTCTTTGTGTGGGGCATCACACATTTTTACGCCTCTAGTCACATGGGGATGTTCCCCGACCCTTTGAGGAGCTTCTCCAAAATCCCTCTCCAACGACGCTTAACCTCAGAGTGGAAGGACGAGTTGGAACAATGGGACGCCAACCATTTATCCTGGGTTTGCCCTTGGTTCCGACCCGATCCAGTCCTCATCAGATGTGGGGATTATCCGAATGTACCCTTGATAGGACTCAGGGGTTACATAGCCTATTCACCTAGAGTAGCTATGAGACAACTCATGAGGACTCAAACTACAATTTCCCGAGGGGAACTCAGAGGACTGTGTTTCTTTGGAGACCCATGCACAATTGCTAACTCACCAGCTGTGAGAAGAGCATGGGAGAAACCAGTCTTTATGGGAGATAGAGAGCTAGGAAAAGCTCGAGTGACTGTCTCTAGTGACTATGAGGTGTGGAGGAAAAGAAGAGAGATGTCTTAACCATCCACCACACTCGTTACATGCGCCAATAGTGAAGAGCTGCAAGCTCAAGTCGATGCCTTGACCCAGAGGATAGAAATCATGGGAGCCCAGATGAGGGCCCTTGAGGAAAGAGAACAAGAATCTATCCTCACCATTGATGTTCTGCAAAGGCAATGCAAGAAAAAGGATCATTAAATAGAGCGCCTCAAGGATCAGTGTGCTGATTCTAATGAGCAAGCTATCTGAGCATCCAAAGCTGCTAGAACCAGCTTGGATAGCCAACTTCAAGAAATAACTGCCAAATCAGCACGCCTTGAGGCCGAATCAGCAAAACAGGCTCAGACGATCAAGGACTTATTACAAGACCTCACAAGCACTCAGTCAGAAATACGTCAAGAGCAAGAAGGCAATCGGAGACTCAACAAAATTCTCGCTGAGCTACGCTGCAAAAAAAGAGTCTGACTAGCTCAGTACGGCCAAGTACTACAAGAAAAAGACCGAGCCCTTGCAAAGCTCGACGAGCTACAAGCCTTGGTCATCCATCAAGAGGTGAAGATCAAAGAGGCTCAAAAGTACAGTGAAGATATGAGCCAGGCAATCCAGAAGCAAAGCGAAGCACTCGCTCATCATGTCTAGGAAGCTGAAAGGGAATTACATAGAGATCAAGACCTGCCTGTGGGTTTCTTTAGGATTTTCCATTTCTGTCAAAAGTTGCTTCGTAGTATGGAATAGGAGAATGTACACCTTCTACAGATAAATGAAATTTTTCTTTATTCAAGTTGTCTATTTGCATGTATATCATTCATTTGCATATTTAATTTCCCCTCCTTCAGTCTTAATAAATAATATAACAAAAAGGAAGGATTAACTGACACGTCTTCCAAATCAGAAGAATGGAGAAAAAGCCACTCCTAATCAAGCTTTCCCTAACGGTTGACTCGCCGCAAGATGACAATAAGCCTCAACCGTTGGTCCTCAAAAATAAGGAAGAGGGGGCAAGGACACCAGTGCGACTATTTATGCCACGTCCTTTCCCCTACGAGTCAAATAAAGTTGTACCATGGAGATATGAAGAATCTTCACCAATAAAGGAAGATATCTCGAACATAGCCGGCATTGGGCGCATGACTAGAAGTGGAAGAGTCTACTCCCCCAAGGACTCACAAGAAGACATCCCCAAGAATAAAGAAAAAAATAAAAAGACCGAAGAAAAAGAAAATAAAGAATCCAAGGAGGAGATAGAGGAAGAACTCCCCCTCGAGGGATCAAACCACAACAAGCCCTTGCACATTTCCATCAAGTGCAAGGAGTACCTCATTGCCAAAGTTCTTGTGGATAACGGGTCATCCTTGAACGTGATGCCCAAGTGCACACTCGACAAGTTGACTATCCAAGGAACCCGTCTGCGCCCAAGCAGCACTATCGTTCAAGCCTTCGACAGATCAAAACGAGAAGTAATGGGAGAAGTTAATTTGCCAATCCAAGTGGGACCCACTATCTTCAACGTCGATTTCCATGTAATGGATATTACTCCGGCATACAGTTGTCTCCTCAACAGGCCTTGGATTCATGACGCTAAGGCAGTACCTTCAATGCTCCACCAGAAAGTCAAGTTCATAGTGGATGACAAATTGGTCACGGTCCAAGCAGAAGATGATATCCTGATTAGTGGACTGTCTACCCAGCCTTATATGGATGCGGCTGAAGAGGCCCTTGAAACATCTTTTCAAGCGCTCGAAATTGCAAACGTAGAGAGACTTCCCAAAAACACAAAGGTAGCCCGCATGATGATGAAGCATGGTTACCATCCCAGCCAAGGGCTGGGGGCAGATTCCCAAGGTATGAGGAAACCCCAAAATTCAAAGATAATCCTTTCAAGTGTGGCCTAGGATATGACCCTACTAAGGGCCGAGCAGAAGGAAGAAAAGGGAAGTCTCCCCTCCGCACACTCAAGCAAATATTTCAAAGCGGAGGGATGCAAGCGTCAAGAGCTACCCTAGTCATTAGGAAATCTTTTTCTTCACTTAAGGGATGTAAACCCAAGGATTATTATAGATTACCCCCCAGGGCTAGCCCGACCCCCGCGCATTTTAGGGCACATATTCCCTTATTAATTAATAAAGAATAAATTTCTTACTATTGGCTTCTCTTCTCGCTACTTCATGACTAGACCTCGCAATAACCTTGTCTAAGTAAACAAAAAAAAAAGAAGAATAAAAAGCGCGTCCAAGTAATCAAAACTTGTCATTGCCATTACAATCAAGCTAGTTGATTAGAAGCACAAAATAAGGCTTTATCTCACCATAAAGGAATTCATGCTTCGCCAATATTGTGAAAAAAAAAAAGAGAAAATAATACAACAACAAAAAGAGCCCGTAGAAGCCAAAGGCCAAAAGAAAAAAAGGGCAAAATACCCGGTAGGAAACCTACTAAGGGGGCTATGCAAAAGATAGGGTCAACCCGGTAGGACACCCGAACAAAAATAAAGGGTAGTCTAGGCAAAATTTAGGGTTACAAAATAAGGTCCGCTAGGATTCCCTAAACAAAAACGAAAAGAAGGAACCTGGACAAAAGATAGGGCCAAAGCACAATATCCTAGTTCGAAAACCCAAAGGGCGATCTAGGGAGATCAACTAGCCATAAAAAGCAAGGGAAATAAGCTAAAGCGCAAACACAAAAAAAAAGGGAAATGTTTGCTTAGACAAAAAGCTTAAACACCCAAGCCTAACCTTAGCCAACCATTCTTACAAAAACCTTTTTCTAAATAAAAATTAACCTTCTAAAACACAAACCATTGAATTTGCCCTCTTACTTCTTTTCTCTTGACCCTCACAACAATATTCTAAACAATTAATTTGGGAATATGGAGGCGTATAGGGACATCTCGAACGTTTATGCGACCGGTCGCGAAAAGATGGTCTAGACTCGCGTTTTATTTTAAAATGTGTTCATTGCTTCCGAGGTGCTCAACAACTGAACTATCCTCTAATAAAAGCAAGGTTTTCGCAAAAAGGGTTCTTATGGAGTCGCCACTAATGTTTTGACCATAAACATTGGAAAAGGATAAAAAGGTGTTGATTTTAGGAAAAACTAAACTTGGTCATTATAACCAAAGTTGGGTAAGGGAGTTAGTTACGTGTGGGGAAGGTGCTAGCACCCCACAACGCCCCTTTCGGGTTCCCTGTGATGGATTAATTCATTAAGTAAAGATTACAAGAAATTACACTATTACCCTATTTTATTTATACAATATTTTAAAAATGGCTATCTACATGATTTAATTTTCTATTGCATACATAAAGCAATAAAGGAGAAGAGAAGTGAAAAGAACCTCCGTAGCAAGCTTTGTATTGCAAATCTTTAACTGTGAGGATGCGTTTTGGCAATCCCCCGCTCTACAAAGACTCTCCTCCCCAATTACAGGACAGACTCTACTGTAATTCTAAGAAGAATCGAATGCTGGAAGAATATTCCTTAACCGATTGTTACCTTTTTTAGGCAATCGGAGAGTTCATTCGAAAGAGGGAGAGAAGACCAGTGTCTGGAGTGTGAAAAATGCTCAAATGAGCTTCCTATTTATAGTTTTCGCAGCCTGGCAGCTTGGGACGGTCGTCTGGGGTGCAAAAAATAGGGATGCCCATTTGGGGAGGCCGGGACGGCCGTCTGGGATCTGGGACGGCCATCCCAAGTAACAAAACTGGCTGAGATGGTCGTCTGGCATGTGGGACGGCCGTCTGGGCTGACTGGGATGGCCATCTCGACTTCTGGGATGACCATCTCGACTATTTTGGCCAGATTTTGTGTTCTGTGACTCCCGGGAAGCTTTCCTTTCTTTATTCAGAAGTCGATTGATGCTGATAGACATCCACCGAAGCTTTATCTTCAGATAGAAAGTCTTCTTAGCCTTTATTAAGTGGCCGGGCAAAATTAGGGGTCTACAGCCGTCACCTTAGGTTGTCATTTCCTATCCAAAGATTTCAAGATTTTTACATTTAATTCATCAACATAAAAAATTTTACCTAATCCAGTGAGATTATTCACTATGTGCGTGAAACTCTTTTGAACGTCAAAGATTGTTTCTCCTTGTTGCATCCGAAACATATCATATTCTTTGATCAATGAATTCTTTCATGTTCTTTTTACATTGTCGGTACCTTCGTGGGTTACTCTTAACATTTCCCATATTTCTTGAGCACTTTTACAAACAGAGATCCTGTAAAACTCATCAAGGGTTAAAGCAGATAAAATAATATTTCTAGCCCTAACATCATATTGGGCTTTTCTATTTTCCTTCGCCATCCATCTAGAAAATGGTTTTGATACTTCTACTCCATTTTCAGAAATTTTAGGAATAAAGGGACCGTTTAAAATTGCGTCCCAAACACCTCTATCAACAGACTCTAAAAATATTTAAATTGGAACTTTCGAAAAGGGATAATTTTGTCGCGCAAAAAGTGGGGGTCTATTGATAGAAGCACCCTCGGCAAACGTTTGATTTTGTCCGGCCATTTTCGAAAAATTGAATGACTATCAAAGCAAGCTCGGATACCACTTGTTAGAATTGCGCAGTGGAATGTTTGCGTATCCGGAAAAAAAACCAAGAGGGGGGTGGTGAATTGGTTTCTTAACAAAAATTAGGATTTTAAAATTTTTCCCAAATTTCACTGATTAAAATGCTGTGTCAAGTAAATAGAGGAAGGATAGAGTATTACACAGTCGATTTATATTTGTTCGGATTAAAAGACCCTACATCCAGTTGCTAATCACTCAAACAAAGGATTAACGCTATCACTATAATCACAATTATACAAACAGATTACAAATGAAAAGATAAGGTAAAGAATACACCTTTCTTGAGTCACACAAGAGATGAAACACCTCCTTTGAATCTACAAAGGATGAAGAACAGCTTTCCCTAGAGACAGCACAACACACAATCCACCAAGAAAACCCACTTCGTGATTCTTATCGCTTATAGCCCACACTAGGTTCCAAAAGCCCCTTTTTCCTCCAACAAACAGTTCTCTGGCAGTCACAACTCTCAACTTTGGTTTGAAAAAGGTTGTTCACTTTGCAGAGAGGCTTAGAGAACCTTAAGTAGAGAGATTAGGGTTTGGGAATTGGGGATTTTTGAAACTAGATGAATTGGGAATATGGTTTTCGAAACTTGGTCTAATTTTGAAATTAAAAATACATATATGATTGAAATAATCGATTATCTTGAGTGTTAATCGATTATTCTAGAGTCAAATTCACCTGGAACCCAAAACCACGCAGTTTAATCGATTAATTGAGCATTTAAAACAGCCCTATTAATCGATTAACAGAGGCTTTAATCGATTATTCTAGAGAGCAGATACTAAAAATTGTTTTTCTCTCTATAATAATCGATTATCCTGCCATTTAATCGATTAATCCAGTATGTTTTTGATAAAAAATGAGTTTTTAGAATCTTTAAAGAGTAGACTATGTGCTGGCTATCTTAGACTCTAATATTACAGACTCAAAATCATAAAAACAGAGTTATTACATAACATTACAAGTCTTCAAATCTTTAAGTCCTTTGTTCTTGAATCATCATCAAAATCTACAGGCTTCATAACCATGTATGTTCAACATTCATATCCTTGTATGTTTCAACATTAGTTACGTGTGGGGAAGGTGTTAGAACCCCACAACGCCCCTTTCGGGTTCCCTATGATGGACTAACTTAAAAAATAAACACTTAAAGAAACTATGCTTTTACCCTTATTATTCTATCTACTTGCATAATTTAAATATCTACATGGCCTTATTATCTAATGCACACAAAGAAAGCGATAAAGAAATCAGTAAAAAGAGAGAGAGAATAGAGAAGGAACCTCCGAAGCAAGCTTTATATTAACTCTTCAAAACATGAGGACGCTTTTTGGCAGTCCCCGCACTCTACAAGCACACTCCTCCCGCAAAAGAAAGAAAAGTCACTCTACCGAGGGTCGGACGTCTCAATAGGAGACATCCTTAACCAATTTCAACTTCAAATGGAAATCGGAAAGCTCACTCGAACTCCGGAATAATGCTCAGAGTCACTCTAAAGTGCCAAAAGGCTTCCTAGAGAGTGGTAGGAGTGAAAATGTGTGAAACTTC